TTTTTTGTGTTTTTTTATTTAATTCATTATTTCTTTGATTATTTTGATTCCAGAACAAGAATATAAAGAATAAGAAATTAAAATGATAAATAGAATAAATGAATAGAAAGAAATATTATAATTACATTAAATATTATCAAATGTATTATAATAAACATTATATCTAACACGAAAAAGATATAAAATAATAAATATAAAAATAAAATGAATAAAACAAATAATAAATAATGATAAAAAATAAATATATTCATAAAGAATATAATAAATAAGAATAAATTAAATAACAATAAAGATGATAAATAAAAACAATATTTTATAAATAAATTGAAGATATTTTAAAAAATATTATAATTATAATAATTATTCTTCATTTTAAGTTATTTATTTATTTGTAAAACATTTAATTTATTAAATATTAATATTATTTATGAAACATTTATTTATTAATGTATTTATTTTTATTGTTAAATTATAAAATGATTTTAATAATATTTTATTCTATTTATTGATAAATATAAAATAGAATATAGAATAAAATAAAGAAATAAAATGAAAAATGAAATGTTTAATAATAAATGAAAATGAAAAGAAATAATGACTATACAAAAATAATAAAAAGAAAATGATATAATTAAAGAGAAGAACTTAAATACATTCATTATTTATATTATATTATTTATTCTATTTATTATTAAACCTTATTCTCATTATTCATGAAATAAATAAAATATAATCAAATAAATATAAAATAATATATATTTAAATGAATAAGTAAAGTAAAATGAATAAATATTATTATAAATAAATGATGAGAATGAAAACAAAAATCAATATAACTATCATATGATGAAATAATTAAATATAAATTCAAAATTTCTTAGAATTGGATATTATTATAATTATAAACAAAATAATCAACTTTTACAATCAATTATTATCTATTAAAAAATCATGTAAATATATTATCATCAGATAATGTTTAATTAACTTGAATAAAAACAAATATGTATTTCATTATTAAATTTTCATATGATGAACATTTTAAATTAATTACATAATATTATATGAAGATAATATAATAATTACAACAAAAACAAAATTACTTTAATAATTAGAATAAGAATACCAAATAAACAATTTCAAATATTTCAAATAAAATAAGAATGAACAAAGAATAACAAAAAAATTGAAAATAAGAAATAGATGAATCAGAAAAACAAGGAACAAAACAAGAAAAAACAAGAAGAAATGATATACAAAATGAATTAAAATTAATATAATTATTTTAATATATAATTATTTGATACTATTATTTCTATTTTATCATCTGAATAATATGGAAAATTCACAATATCTTTTGATATATAGAATTAATTCATCATGATTTATTATTTCGATTATGGAATAAATATAATATATTTATGAATATTAGAAAATTGGAGAAGTTAAATTTAAATAGAAATATCAATTAATATATAACAACAGTATATATTAATATTATAGTTTAAATAAACCTTTAAAAATAAAGATTAATTCAGTTAATAACACAAATTAAACTATTAATTTAAAATTTGTTGATAGTATGTTTCTTTTTGTATAATTCATATCATATTAGTATAATTATAAACAAGAAGTAAAATTAAATATATATGTTCTATTTGAAAAAGATAATTATGTTAATTATGATTTATTAACTGGATAATCTCGTATAGATAAAAAAGTTATATGTAAAATACTAAATAAATGTTTAAATCATTTGATTATGAACAAACTAAATCTAATATTTATAAAGTGTATTATATGATAAATCATTTAAATTTTATATTAATTTTCATTTCAGAAAAACAATAAAAGAAATTATAAAAGATTTAAGTATTTATCAAACTGGATTGAATAGTAAGACTAATACAAGTTTAGATACTCAAATAATTAAAAAGAAACATAAATGATATATTAAATATAATAGAATTATATAATCAACACAAAGAATAACAGTAACAAATTTAGTTAATTTATTCATTTAATATAAGATCAGAATTATCTTGGTCCTATTTTATTCAGTTATTTCTTTACATTAAATATCAATTGGATCTATTTTGATTATTGTTCAAACAGATAAACTAATAAGTGGAAATAGATGGAATAGTTTCTCTTTATTTAATCTTTTTGTGTTATTATGTCTAGGTAGATTTATAGTGACTTTCATACTCGATTTAAACAAATTAAAAATAATTGAATACTTTTTATCTATTCTATTTATATTTCATCTATTCTAAAAATAAAGTGAATACGTAATTAAATTATAATTGTATAAATAGAATCACAATAATAACAAAATTATAATAACAAAAAAAGAATATTATTGTTTTGTCGAAATGTAACAATAAAAATGAATAAAGACCATAAAGGTGCTTGCTCAATTTTTTTGCCTGGGGGAAATTTTCATGGGGTAGGAAAGACGGAAGTGGAGATTCGATAAATAAAATAATAAAAAAACTATATTATTATAATATTGTCTCTTTGTTCCACTCAAAGTGCTGCCTATGTCCTGCCTATGTCCTGCCTCGTGACATATTTAAAGGTTAATCTGTTTTAGTATTACCAGATTAACCTGTTACATATGTTACAAGTCCGCCCAGTTGCTAGACGCTTCCAGTTGACTCTTAACCAGCCTGAACATTATGTGCCAGTCAAAGACTTTCTGCTATCCAATCCAAATTTTAAATATCTTATATCGTGCCAGGAAAAAGCTCCAACCACAGGCCATGACCATATCCATATATTTGTGTGCTTCTCCAAAACAGTACGTCTGAATCCTTCTCTCCTCCATGGTGCTCATATAGAACTTTGTAGAGGCTCCAATAAACAGAATGTTGCTTATATTCGCAAGCATAATGAAATCCTTGATGAAATTGGAGAATGTCCTGTAGAAGGACGTCCTATTAAGACTGTCAAAGACTTGCTTGAAATTGATGATCCAGAAACAGTACCAGCTTATTATCTTAAGAGCTGGAGAGAAGTGAAGACTATGTTCTGCTCAATGACTATTGATGATGTATACAAACCAAATGTAGAGATTTATTTTATATGGGGGAAAAAGTGGAGTAGGAAAATCGAAGAAAGTCTTTGAATTAATTAAGAGTAGTGGAGAACAGATGTTCGATGTTATCCATTATGACAACGGCTTCTTCACCGGTATACCTTCTTACGGTTGTTCTTCCATTGGGTGGTATGATGATTTCAGAGACTCTGACATGAAGCCGTCCGTATTCATCAGGTTCATAGACTATTATATAAGTCCACTTAACATTAAAGGGGGTCATGTAATGAATAGATATGAAAAGATTTATATAACATCTGTTCAGAACCCTAGAAAGATCTACGCTGGTCTAAAATCTGATGAGCCTAGAAAGCAGTGGCTAAGAAGGATGAAAATAATTCATCTTAGAAGTTTAGAAGCTGAAGGTGATGATTCTGATACTGAAGAGGAAAATCCTGAAGAATTAGCTGGTAATTGGTGCTAAATTTAATTGAGTCTTTCTTCTATTTTTCTTTTGATTTCTATTTGATTTTTACTGAGTATTTAAACATTTCCATAATCTACTAATTCATATGGCTCGTTTAAAGAGAAAGACTACAAGAAGAACAAAAACAAAAAGAAGACCTACTTTACGTCGTGGTAGGCGTGTATATAAACGACGTGTATATCGTCTTCGACGATATACTAGACGTTATAGACGTGCCAGGTTGTCATCACAACCAAATAGTATAGTACTTAAGAATAAGCTAGTTTGCTCCATGGTAGAGTTCCAAATTTTGCCTGTAAGAGATAGTTTGCCTCAGATTGTAACTATGGCTGGATTTACTACAGCTGCTACGAATAAGATAAGTAATGTAACAGAGGAGAATAAAGCTATCTTCTCTTCTTTAGGTCAGTTATTCTTTAATGTACAGTCTGTTGATACAGCTAATAGTATCTTACCTATTCAAGAAGCAGGAAAGTTACCACCTAGTTTTATAGCATGGAATCCGTTTGTAGATTATAATTTATTAGGTTCCTTGTGGAATTATTATACTGGAATGTATGAATATTGGAAGTTTACAGGTGTAAAAATAAAGTGGATACCCAATGTAAAGACTGCTGTAGCTCTCCCAGAAATGCCTTATGGTATTCAGCAATCGAGAAAGAGTGTAACTGGTTCTGCTCTTCAAAGTTCTGTTAATTTAGAAATTTCTAATCAAAATAATAGTCCTTATGATACTGTATTATATACAGGAGATGGAAGTGGATTAGGTTATAAGCAGCAAGTAACATTTAATATGCATGTACTATTTGAAAAGGATAATTATGATAATTTTGACCTGCCAACTAATCCTGCTAATGTTCAAGAAAGTGAAGTATGTAAAGATACTCGTTATAAGTTTAAAAGATTTTATGATGGACCTACTAAGCCAAAGACTTATAAAGTGTATGATATGACAAAGCCTTTTAAGTTTTATGTTAAGCCTTATATGCAGAATACCTCTAGTGAAATAACTGATGATTTGAGTAATCCTCAAACTGGAGCTACTATCCTTAAACCCTCACTTAATACACAAATACAAAAGAAAAAAAGAATGAATTATGTTAAGTATAATGGTACTAGGAATGAAGTACCTTTTGTTAATCCTAGTCATTTACAAAGATATGCTAGTTATATACAAGATCAGAACTATTTTGATCCGATATTATTTGGATATTTCTTTACAGCTAATGGAATACCTATTGGTTCAACTTTAACAATAGCCGAAAATATAGCACCTACTCAAGAAGAGCCATTATGGACTAATTACAGTTTATATGCTCCCCCTAATATATCAGCTTTAGGTAAATTTGAAATTACCTTTTATACTAAATTTAGACAGATTAAGAATGCTTAATTGAATACTTTTTATCTATTCTATTTATATTTCATCTATTCTAAAAATAAAGTGGATACGTAATTAGACTACCTAATTCTATAAATAGAATAACGCAGCATAAAACAAAATTATAATAACAAAAAAAAAAAAAGAATATTATTGTTTTGTCGAACCGTAACAATAAAGAGGAATAAAGATCGTAGATGGGCCCCCACGAAGAATTTTTGCCTGGGGGAAATTTTCATGGGGTAGGAAAGACGGAAGTGGAGATTCGATAAATAAAATAATAAAAAAACTATATTATTATAATATTGTCTCTTTGTTCCACTCAAAGTGCTGCCTATGTCCTGCCTCGTGACATATTTAAAGGTTAATCTGTTTTAGTATTACCAGTTCACATGTCACGTGTCGCTGCTGCTAGTTGCCAAGCTAGAAGGTTCTTCATCACCATCAATAATCCAAGCGATGACGAAATTACTACTCTTGAAACTCTTGATTATAAATATATTGTTATAGCTCAAGAAAATGCTCCTACTACTGGAACTCCTCATATTCATTGTCTTGTTCTATTTAATTCTGCTAAAAGAATCTCTACTCTGAAAAGACTACTCCCAAGGGCTAATATTCAAGTTGTAAGAGGAACTTTCCACCAAGCTAGAGAATATGTAATAAAAGATGGTCAAATTATATATGAAGATGGTGCTGCTCCTCGTTTGGGTATTGGAGATACATTTAAACAAATGGTTCAAGAAGCAAAGGCTGGTACTATTGATACAGAAAGCTTAATGTATTGTCGATATGAGAAATTCTTCCAACGATTTATTCCAAAAACTGACTACTGTTTTGATGGAGAATTAAATACTAAAAACGCTTGGATTTATGGTCCACCAGGTACAGGAAAGTCTCGCTTAGTAAGAGATTATGCTAGAAGTAGAGGTTATAGAGTTTACGAAAAGCTTTCTAATAAATGGTGGGATAATTATGATGGAGAAGAGATTGTTCTCATTGAAGACTTGGACCCTCAAGTCTGTAAGCTTCTTGTTCATCATATAAAGCTTTGGGCTGATAGATACCCCTTTAGAGCTAAGATAAAAGGGGGGTCTGTTAGATTAGAGCCAAGGTTCCAATTTATAGTTACTTCTAACTATTCTTTGGCTGAATGCTTTGAATGACCTGATGGTGATGTTATTGCTAGAAGGTTCGATCAGTGGGATATGTAACTTAAACCTGTTGAAGAACCTGAAAATCCTGAAGAATTAGCTGGTAATTGGTGCTAAGTTTAATTGAGTCTTTCTTCTATTTATATTTTGATTTCTATTTGATTTTTACTGAGTATTTAAACATTTCCATAATCTACTAATTCATATGGCTCGTTTAAAGAGAAAGACAACAAGAAAAACAACCAAAAGAAGACCTACTTTACGTCGTGGTAGGCATGTATATAAACGACGTGTATATCGTCGAAGACGATATACTAGACGTTATAGATGTGCCAGGTTGTCTTCACAACCAAATAATATTAAATTAAAAAGTAAGCTTACTTGTTCTATAATGGAGTTTCAAGCTATTCCACAACGTGATAATTACTCAAGTATGTATGGCTAACCAGCCTACTCAATCTGAAAATAAAATTAGGAATGTCATGCAGGAGAATATAGCAGCTATATTCTCTAATCTTGCTCAGAATTTGTAGATACAGCTAACTCTATTCTTCCTACTGAACATGCTACTAAATATTTACCTTCATTTATTGCATAGAGTCCATGGTTAGATGCTGATCTTCTTGGTGGTTTATAGAATAGTTACACGAATATGTATGAATATTGGAGATACTTGTGAGTTATAGTTAAATGGATACCATCTGTTAAAACTGCTACTGCTATCCACAATGTACCTTATGGAATACAGAAACTAATACCAGAACTACTGGAACGGCTGCTTCAGGAGGAGTAGTCAGTTTGACTACTACTCCAGAAGATTATGATTTAATGTTGTATATTCTTGATCAATCTGGAGGAACATATAGACAACAGATTACTTTTAATATACATGTATTATTTGAGAAAGATGTATGTGAATCTCGATTATGTAAGGATACTCGTTATAAGTATAAACAATTCGAGATGGTCCGACTACGCCTAAGACCTATAAAGTATACGATATAACCAATCCATTTGAGTTCTATGTTAAACCTTATATGCAAAATACATCAAGTGAAATATCTAATGATTTGTCTACTCCTCAGATTGGACTTACTAATGTCACATCTATTACTCTTGATGCTCAAATACTTAAGAAGAAAAGAATGAATTATATTAAATATAATGGTACAACCAATGTTCCTTTTTTACCACCAACCGGAAAACTAATGTTGGTATATATATAAACAGTACTCAAGATTGTAACTATTTAGATCCTATTCTATTTGGTTATTTCTTCACAGCTAATAGAATAGTAATAGGAAGTGTATCAACTACGGTTCAAGTTAATCCATCTTCATCAGTACCTTATGGAAGTTATTCATTATACGCTCCGTCTGTTATTTCATCAATGGGTCATTTTGAGTTGAGGTTTTATACTAAATTTAAACAACTTAAAAATAAGTAATTGATTTATTTTTATATATTATGTTTGGGGATGGAAAGAGCTATATCAAAAATAAACGGCATAATAGTTTTGCCATGGGAAGATTCAGACACATCTTTTCCTCATCCTCATAAAAAATATCAAATTCCTTTACATTTAAAGATAAATATAGTTTTTTTATGAGACCCTTCCGTCTCCTCCTCTTTCCCCCTAGCCAGAAGGAGGATGGAGTCCGTAGGGGGACCCGTGCGAGCAACTGAAAGGCGCGAGCACCGGGGGAGGACGACAGGCGTTGGGGGGGGGGGGAAAGAGGTGGTGACGGAAGGTGTCTTATAATGATACTTATTATCTTCCTCATCCTCTTCTTTTTCCCATCCTATTAAGAAAGATCTATCCCCATCCTTCACCCATCCTCTCCCAGTACATCGGTGATCTCCCCGATAACAGAAAGGTTGTGGTGACATGTATAAGGTTGTAACGGTTAATGCGTATAGTATTACCGCATTAACCTGTTACAACCGTTACACGTTGTAACTGTAGAGGCTGAAGTGTCTTGTGGTGCGTTCATAATTCGGCATTTTCAGCATTTGATTACCATTGTATTTCTATTTTTAGAAACGTGTTACAATTGTTATATATAACAAAATTGACACGAAGTGTCATATTTTGTTATATATAACATGGTGGCACTCTAAATGTCATTACAATTGTTCTTTTGAATGTCCTTCGGACATTCAATAGAACAATTATGATGACATGTTTCATCACTCATTGTGTAACTCCAGTGTAATTATTTGCCAATTCAAGCCGTCTTTTACCAGTTCTGATCTACAAATAGGTATATCACAGTTCACCGCTTCTTATTTATAGAAATGTTCTGATGAACGTCCTTTCAGGACGTTCAATAGGACATTTAGAGTGCTCGTCGGTGTATCTCTCACTTGATTGGTCTAATTTACAACCAATGTTCTGAATGTCCTGTCTATTGTCTGTTCTTCATAGAGTATTTAAGCATCAATCTCAGAATGGACAATCATACAACAATGTGTGAATTCGATTATTGGGTTTTAAGTGACAAGTTCAAGGCAATTGTATCATCATTCGACGAATACGAACGAAATATTGCAAACGAATTAATAATTAATTATTCCGTCAATTATTCACTCGAACAACTTACCGAATTGTATAATTATCATCGTTTCGGTTATAAAGGTCCTTATTATTTATATTATGGAAAATACGAACTCATTTTCATCTATTCAATATTAAATCGTGTAATGAATATTGGCATTGACAATCTTGATAGACCAACTCTAAAATTATTGATTCCGTATTTTAATGATTGGTACATACGTGATGGCATATCTGGTGCCTGGAGTGTTCTGCTGGATGTTTATAACAGAGAACAACGCGAACTTGAAGAGGCCGGATTTTATGATGATTCTCTGGTTTCTGGTATCAGCCTAGAAGATGCCAAAGCCAGTACAGAAGCTCTCTTAGGGGAGAGTATGGAAGAGTGTACTATTCCCTCTTCCAGTACGGAGTTAGAAGACTTCGCTATTATAGAAGCAACTCCCTCTGAAGAGCCTCTCCCATCATTTATTAATGATGTAGACTCTAATGATTGGTATTGTTAGAGTACTAATTGAATTCTTTTTATTCTATTTTATTTTTATTTTAACTATAATTATATTATATCTAAACTATAGGCTAATAATATTCTAATTGTATAGCATCTAATCGACTGCTTTGTATCTATTCTCTATCGTCTTTTTAAGCTATAAGCTAATAGTAAATAAGCTGTGTCTAAGCTATAGGCTAATCGTGTAATATCTAATTAACTGCTTTGTCTGTATTCTATATTGTCTTTTTAAGCTATAGGCTAATAGTAATCATACTATACTCTAATAATAATCCATTTATACAAACAATGGTCATTCTATAAATTAACTATACTTATACTATATCTAAACTATAATCTAATAGTATTCTAATTATACAAATCTCATTCAAATTATAAACTAATAGTAAACTTATTATAATCTAATAGTATTCTAATTATACAAATCTCATACGATCTATTTATAAAACTATACTTATACTATAATCATACTATAGCCAAACTATAATCTAATAGTATTCTAATTATATAGCATCTAATTGAATGTTCTGTCTTTATTCTATTCTATTTATAGAAACCATAAATTAATAATAAGTATATTATAAATTAATAGTATATAATAAACAAGAGTATGGGGATGGAATCAGAGCTATAGCAAAATAAACGGCAGCTAATAGTTTTGCTAGGGGAAGATTCAGATCCATCAAAAGGATAATAGGGATAATCATAATACATTCGCCATCTACCCTTCCCTTATCTTTTTCCCCTCCTCCTAAAAAATATATACCAAAATCCTTCGCATAAAAAATAAGACAAATAAAGTTTTTTTATCTAACTTCTGCTTCCCTTATCTTTTCCCCCCTAGCCAGAAGGAGGACGGAGTCCGTAGGAGGGACCCGTGTGAGCAACCGAAGGGCGCGAACACAGGGAGGGAGGACGACAGGCGTTGGGGGAAAAAGAGGTGGTGACGGAAGTGTGTCATAATGATACTTATTATCTTCCGTCTCCTCCTCTTTTTTCCCCTCCTATTAGTTAGATCTATCCCCATCCTTCGCCCATCCTCTCCCAATACACTGGTGATCTTCCCAATAACAAAATAATCAGCTGCCAGTGTTTTTTGTTATAGCTCGCTTGGGGTGGGTCACATTCGTTTACTGGCACAGTATTACCAAAAGAAAAGCAGTTAAAATGGTAAATATCATCATATGAAGATAAATAATACATAAAATTCAATTAAAACCATTGAATTTGATAATATTAAAACGATAACACAACAACAAAA